CATATGTTCTCTCTCCGTAGCAGCCATGCCGCCCTAGAGTCGCCTGCGGTCCAGTGGCTGCTCAGACTCAAAGCAGAGGCTCCAGGCCGGAGCCTGGGTACAGCAATGCGGCTCCTGCCTGAGCACAGCCTGGAACAGAGACTAAGCTGGCCAGATGGGGACAAAGGCTGACCTGGACTAAGCTCTGACATGGACTGAACCGATGGCACAGAATTTTTGGACCCTGGCCTTTCTTTGAGGCTTGATGAAGACAAGGTTGGACTTTGTCCACTGCAGGATGGACAGAGGTGAGACACCAGAAACCTGGGGGCAGCTTTCCATTTCTATCCCAATAAATCTCACCACTGCACCTCAACCTCCCATGAGTGGGTCCCTGGAAATGCTTTTCTTGCAGCTCTGTGAAAGAACCCCATTTTCACTGGCAACAACTAGACATCATTATTAGCTTCAAAGCATAACCCCCTCAACCCCCAACCCCAAATTTGGCTGCAAGACACTCCATCATTACATTTGGAGGTCAGAAATCATGTCACAGCCGTTTTTATATCCTTGGAACTCAGCAGGTTCGGTAGGTACTTGAATAGACGCCTGGTGTGTGAGTGGCAGCTTTTTCTCCAGGGACTCTAACAGGCTGTCTCTGTTCCTTACCTTCTCCCAGCCTTCTCTCTATACTGGGGACACCCACCTTCAGAGATCCCAGATAATCTACTGACTCTCCCCTTCCCCCAAAGAAAAACCTGCCTGAAATACCCCCTCCCCCAGGAAGTCCTCCCAAGGCCAGTGGATCTGCACCTTCTCCAATCACAGTGGGCAAAGCCTTCCTGCTGCCTAACACACACTGGGGTTTGCCCATTCTGTCTTTGGGCAGGAACAGACCCTGGCCATGAGGGGTGCAGGTTGTGCCTGGGCTTTCCCTGGGTGGAGAGAAAGGATGCTGAGTGGTGGCTGGGCAACCTCAGGCCATACACGTGGTTTGCTCAACCCAGACCCCTTTCTGCAGCTCCTCTCCCATCTCTTTGGTGGCTCCTTTCTTGCCCTTCCTTGGCACTCCCTTGACCCTGAGCCTTCTATGGCTCATATAGGTTGGCTCCTCCGGTGTGACTCACAGCCCCTCTCACTGAGACGGGAAGCTTCTCCTGCCTGATCCCCTTGTGTTCTCATAGGACCTAGCACGGTGCACACAGTAAGTGCCTCACAAATGCTTGGCGACTGAATGAGAACTGTGGCTCAGCCCGGTTTGCTCTGGCATAGAGCTGAGACTCAAATCTCCATGGAGACAGAAGGATGGGTTTCAGGTCAGACTAATACTTGGGCAAGGCAGGAGTTAGATTCTCCCTGGTGGAATGGTTTGGCTTGTGCCGTCTAGATAAAGACAGGAGAGCCCCGAGTCGGAGTCTAATCCGAGCCTTCTCGCTGAGGATGCCGCCCTGCAGGAACCTGGGCCCTGAGTCGGACCTCAGGTGTCCTCAGGCGCAGGCGGCACAGGATGGCTTCCCAGGGACGGGGGGAGAGCAGGCTGTGGCCCGAGTCCTTGAAACTGTTTTAGTTCTCCAGCTTGGTAGAAGCCGCCTTCTTTCTCACACCCCATCCCTGTTAGCCCCCAAAGAGAGAGCTCCCCAAGCAGGGAACATGCCTGACCCCATAGAGCTGGATGGGGTCACAGTATGACATCTGAGGAGGTGGTGAGGGGGACTCATCTGAATTAAAAAACATCTACTTTGCTACACAAGGCAGAGTGATTAGCACATGGGAAAAGCATGAGCCAGCAGTTTGCAACAAAGCTGGCAGGCGCAGGAATGTTGATCCTGAGGATCATGTTCCAGAGGGGAGACACCCCTCCCCAGGCCAGGCTGGCACTCCGCCCCCCTATTTCAGGCTGGGGGATTAAGATCGAACCACGATAAATGTGCACACACACATGCACACGCACACACGCACGCACACATGCACACACAGGACACTCTTTTCTCTTTCTCTCTGTACTGGCTCCTGCGCCCACCTCCCACACTGGACAGTCTCTAACCACAGCCTACCTCAGCGAGACAATGACAGGAGCCTGGCCAGGGACATGGATGGGGACATGGCACGGTGCGTCCTACTCGCTTCACCACCTCCCCACACCTCAGGCCGCACTGACTCATCCTTCATGTCGCGATCACTGCCAGTCCCTCCGTCTTTCCTGCCCCTCTCTCGTCACCTCACACCCCCTCCCCGGGTCTGAGCCTCTCTCCATGTTGCCCTCCCGCCAACCCTTCAAGCCCTGCAGCTCCTCCAAGCCTCTCTGCACCTCCCGCTGCACGTCTGTCTGTCTTTCCCTCCCCTCTTCTATTTCTCCTTCTCGGGCTTCCTCTTGCCTCTCCGTCTCTCGCCACCTTTCTCATCATGTGACTTCTTTTGACAGATATTTACTGGCCGCCTCTCATAATAATATATAAAATACTGTCTACGCAGATGATGTTTGTCATCTAGGAGAGGAAAATGGGGCTTACACACAGACTCGAATATAAAGTCACATGTGCTGTTTACTGTACAAATGGCCCAAAGTGCTCCAGCCATTAGCTGAGAGAGAAGAAGTCCATTCTGGGCACAGCATCGAGGAGGCTTCCACTGGGACAGCAGCCCTGTTACTGCCCTTGCAGAAGAGGCTGAATTTGGTTCTGCAGAGATGTGGAAGCAGCACCCAAACAGTGGGCAGGGAAGGGACGGTGACCTGGGAGGGCCTTGGGTGTGAGGGGGAGATGCGAAGACTCGGGGCAAGCTGGGTTTTTGAGCAGGAGAGTCACATGAACAGAGCGCTGGGAAGATACATCCAGCAACAGAAGCTTAAGAGGGGTGCTTGTGTGTACGTGTGTGTGTGTGTGTGAGTGCATGTGCATGTGTGATTGTGCATGTGCATGCGTGGTTGTGTGCACGTGTGTGAGTGTGTGTGCAGAAGCCTGAGGTCAGCCAGAGCAGGTTCGGAAGCCCTGGCAGCAGCCTGTGTGTAGTCAGCTTACTTACCCACTGAAGCCTGAACTAAGTAGGTGGTGGCCGTCGGAGGAAATGAAAGGCCAGGTTTGGGAAATACCTCGCTGAGTGCGTTTTCCTCTCTTTCCTGCTGTCTTTGTTTTTGCCCGATTGTCTGATTTCTAAGTGGATCAGAGTCTATCTGCAGTGGCTGCCTCAGGGCCCACTCCGTGGTCAGGCAGAGATCTGATTCGGGTCATGAGAGGAACCACGGTTCTTTGCTTTTCTCTTGGATCTCAGAGGCAGCGAATGCTGGGATCCCAGGAGGACTGGCTTTTACAGCCAGTGTCTCTGAGACCTCGCTCACCCAGAGCCATGTTTGTGTCTCCACCTGCTTCCTGTCTCCAGTGACCCTGCTGTAGACGCACTTGGCAGCCTCAGGACCCCAACCCTGAGCGGCCTCTGTGGCTGCTCAGTCCCCTGGCCTTCCTCTCTCCCCATCACCCTGGTACACCCCCAACGGCAGAGCTCGGGGTAGAGTCGGCGGACCCAAGAGGGGAAACCCAGAACCTCTCCAAGGACCTGATTATTTCCAAAGACTGGTGCTAATTTTCTGATATGATCCTCACATCTCTGTGAGGCACTAAACCCTCATTACTTTTCCTGACCGATGCATTCTAATTAGATCAACACTTAAAAAAAAATTCACAATAGCCACAGGATGGCTTTCCATCTCATTAACTCCTCACTTATTATTTTCATGAAAATTACTGATAAAAATGTGCATCTCCATTTGGTGAGGCCTCACAGCCTCCTCGGCGCCTATCTTGCATCTCTCCCGTCACCCGGGCTGCGCAGCGTCGCCATGGTAACCCACAATAATAGAAACTAATAAATTACAAACGAGATGCTCGTTGAGCAATTATTGTCCTCTTTTATGCAAGTTTCTTGCTAATTTTGATCATAAGGGAAAGTACAATAAGACTCTGAAGGAATGAGTCTATTTCAAGAGAATATTAGCAAGCAGGAGTCTGGGCGGCTGTTTCCAGATCTGTAATAAAGTGGTTTGGTGATTTCAAGCAATGGGAAGAGCAAATAAACTTCCTGCCGCATGTCCCATGCACTGTTGTGTCCCACAGAGATCCTACTGGGGTGGGTTTGATGTGATACTTGTCAAAATGTACAAGGCATGGCTGGCCTTCTAGAGGTTACCCTGTCCTTTCCCTTGCCTCTACCAACTTAGACTGTGCTGGTCCTTAAAATTTGGGGATTAAAAATGGCACTGCCTTTCTCAGGCGCTCTTTCCAGCACCTCTCGCCAATCATTTTTGGAAGATTTCCCTGTATCCCCAAGCCTGACTGACCTATGAGCAGAGGCTACTGTAAACCTTCTGGGGACCCTCCATGGGTCTGTCCTGGACTCAGGAACTCGAGTGGGAAAGGAAGAAAGCAGGAAGCCTATGGCTTATGTGGGTACCAGTGAGTTGGATGGAAAGGTGTCACCAGGCAGCTTCCTTAGTTTGCAGGTTGTGGGAAAATATTCTGCCCTGGGGAGAAGAGCCCATTCTCACCCACAACACATAGCCACAGTTTTCCACATTTCCCAGTTCCCAGGATGAAGGCGGCTGGTGACCCTTGAGACACTTGAGGTGACATTTACAGTGGCCCTGAGCCTTAGGGAGATAGGTGTGCCTGGCAGGGTGAGCAAGTACACAACGACCAGGGAGAACCAGCCCCATGGGAAGCTGTCTTCATCTATCAGGTGGGCAGGATTCAGGCGAGGGCCACCTCCCCAAACCCCCCTCCCAGGAAACCAGGGAGCTCAGCCAGCCTTCTGGAGGAGTCTGTGGGGCTGGGCTGTTGGGGTCCATTCCCAGCTCTGTCCCTGCTTCATCCTCCAGAAAAGCTTTCCATGATGACTAGAAGGAGGAGTTGATCAGAGGAGGGCCCTCCTGGTGGAAGGATCCAATGAGTCTAATCCACTGTTCTAGGTCACCAGGGACCTTCAGACATTACTACATCTGGCTTAGGGGATAGGACCCAGCCCCGTGTTACCTGTGAGTGAAGGTTTATGGAGGGCTGGTTGGGGGAGTAGGGCCCCCCGAGATCATTCCTGAGCAGGTTATCGCTGTGCATCTTGGTTTTGAGGCAGGTGATGTAACGGTTACAAAAGTCCTTGCAGAGTTCATTGACTTTCTCCAACTCCAGCAGGTGGATTCTCAGGACCTGGATTGCCTTCACCATCTGCAGAGAGGAGGAGAGGTGAGCCCAGGCGTTCATGTCACATTCTCCTTGCTGCCCTGACACCCCCTTCCCCTCCCCAGAGCTCATCAGGGGAGAGGAGCGCAGGCCCTGCCCCAGGTATATGCTTTCTTGTCCACGCGATCTGCACTCTCATGAGCTACTGCCAACCGCTTGCTCGCCTTGAGCCCACTGTTGTTCAGCTGTCCTGAGGCAGTGGTGGTATTCTGAGAACAGTACTGGCCTCGGAGGTAGCAGACCAGACCCCAAACCCCAGGCCTGCCATTTCCGATCCGTGTGGCCTTGGCAATTGCTTACGCGATCTGCACCCTATTGTCTGACAAATGAGAATGATGTCCTTGCAGGTTGTCAAGAGGATCCGGTGAGGGATGCACGAGCCGCAAAGTTAGAGCACCGAATGAGCGAGAGGAAAATGGAGGTTAGAGTTCCCTGCAAGTGCCTCAGGGGTCAGGGACACGCAAGCCGAGGCCATCACGTGACACAGGTCACCTTGCAGGTGCCTCACGGATCCTCGCCCAGGGACCGAATCGCCCAGCACGACTTAGCCCGGCGCTGGAAAACCTGACTGCGGTGGTCTTCTCGGTGACCTTTGGGTTGTTACGTGGACCTGCCGCCTCTTCAAGGGGACATTCCTAACCTTCTCATGGCAAGAAGCTATTTCTCAGTCGAAGCTTCTCCCTTGATCACTGTTATTAATATAAAGAGAAAGTGCTATGGGAAGAATGGGAAACAGGGGGTGAAGGAACAAAACTGCCCTTGATCCGACATCCTAAAAGGGGATAATTTTTCTGTCTTTTCCACGTGCATATAGTTTAGCGCCGTTTCAGTCACCTGCGCATACACGTTCGCGTCCCATTTTTGCCCCGAGTTTACCAGATGTAGTTTTCTAAGTGGGAAAACTGTCTCTCCTCTCCCTCCGGACTGTGAGCTTCTAGAGGCAGGAATGGTGTCTCGTTCGCTCACTGTGGCATCCTCAGCACTGGCACATATGGATGCCGTGTAAATGTGTATTGAAAGGGTGAAAGTTACTGAGGAAATGTATTTTTAATTATTACAAAGTATTCCAAGTGTGCCATATTTAACTAATTCCTCATTTGGGGGCATTTCTATGACTTCCAATTTTTCAGTTTTATAAAAAAAAAATGTTACAGTGACTGTTTTCCAAGCTTATAGCTTTTATTCATGTTTCTGCATTATTTCCTTAGGATGAATTTCCAGAAGTGACCGGAAAAAGAGCTACGGGCATTCTTTAGGCTCAAGATAAATATCGTCAAGTTGCTTTTCAAGAAAGGGTCGTTTAAATGGTGCTGGAGCAATTGGACACCCACAAACTAAAAGGTGAGTCTCGATATAAATCTTACATCTTATATAAAAATCAACTCAAGTGGATCAAAGACCTAAATGTAAGACATAAAACTATAAAACTTTTAGAAAAACAAAAACACAGAGAAAATCATCAGGACCAAGGACTAGGCAAACAGGGCTCGAATTTGACACCAAAAAGCACAGCCCAGAAAAGGAAACCGTGATAAATTGGACCTCATCAAAATGAAAAAACATTTGCTCTTCAAAGACCCTGTGAAGAAGATGAAAGGACAAACAGGCTGGGAGAAAATGTTTGCAAACCACATATCTGACAAAGGACATATCTGGAGTATATAAAAAAGCTTTCAAAACTAAACAGTAAAATAACAAGCAATCCAATTAGAACATGGGCAAAAGGCAACATCAGACTTTTCGCTGGAGAGGATACACAGATGGCAAATAAGCACATGGAAAGATGCTCAATGTCATTAGCCATCAGGGAAATGCAAATTAAAATCACAATGAGGTATCACTACGCACTTACAAGAATGGTTAAATAAAAAGTAGCGATCACACCAGATGCTGGCGAGGGACCGGACACTGGGTCACTCATGCACTTGCTGGCGGCACAGCCCCTCTGGAAAACAGCGTAACGGTTTCTAACAAAACTAGATAGATGTTTACCATACAGCCCAGAAACTGCGCTCTTGGGCATTTATCCCAGAGATATAAAAATGTGTATTTACACAAAACCCTGAATGTGAATGTTCACAGGGGCCTTATCTCTAATAGCCAAAAACTGGAAAAAAACTAAATATGCTTTGACAGGTGAATGAATGCAGAAATTGTGGTACATCCATATCGTGAACTAGCACTAGGCAACGAAAAGGAACAGGCTACTGATATACTCAATAACTTGGATGGATTTCAAGGAAATTGTGCTGAGAAAGCAAAACCAATCTCAAAAGATTATATACTATATGATCGATGCCATTTCCATAAAGTCCGTGAGATGATAAAATTATAGGGGTGGAGAACAAATTAGTGG